CAGCTGAAGAATTTAACCAAGATACCTTCACTCCCCGCGGAGTAAGACAAGATTCAGCGATACTCTCCCCCGAGTAGAGTTGGTCTCTCATCAGCCCTAAAAAGGGACAATATCCCTAGCAAGTCAGCAACACTCTCCCCAAGCATAGATAGTCTACTGTCAGCCTTAAGAAAATTGGGTATCCCCAGAAGATCTCAATATTCTCCAGCAGAGTATACAGATATTCCTAAGCAAGTATCCCCGGCAGTCTTCATATTCCTCGACAGAAACATAAGATTGTTCCCCGGCGGAATACAAACACCCCAGTGGAGTCACTTCCCCAGTACAGTTCAAAAGTTTCCCCAGGAGAGTTGAATCCATCTCCTCAGTAGATTCTGGAAGCTTATCCCCAGTAGATTTTGGAAACTTATCACCTGTAGAGTACATGCATCTCTCCCCGACCATATTCAGAAGGTTATTCCCCACCAGGGTCTAACTGGGTTATCCTCAGCTAATTACAACGAAAAGATCATCCTCGGTGAAGTTCTTCCTATCCCCAGCGGAGTTCATCAAAATCCTCTAACAGAGCTTATCAACAGAATCCCCAGCGAAATTATCATCAAAACCTCAGTGAAGTATCTCTTCCCACAGAGTAGCTCCCCGCAGAGTAATCTCTTCACCAGGTTTATTCCTCAACGGAGTCATCTTCTCCTACCAGTTATTCTTGCAATCATCATCCCCAGTGGAAACGAAGAACTCCACTCTTCAAACACCAGCCCAGGATTCAACAAGCTCCCGGCATTCGTCAAGGATTTATTTTCCTAGACAAAAATACATTCATAAACATATCACATTTCATATCTCCTATTCATATACATGATAAAGTGCATACGACACAATCTCATTTATTTTTGAGAACATCATGACATCATGACATCATGCATTTCATACATCATGACATTGCATACAACTGATGTTTTGCCTTTTCAGGAAAAAGGTCAATCCAAAGATGATTACTATCAACTGTCGCAGTTCCAGATTCGATACCTGTATCTAGCCAGGGCATATCTGCAAGCGACTGATTAGAGGGCTACACCGATATCCATCCAGGAAAGCTATCTCTACCAACCTTTTGAAGTTCCAGATTCGATACCTGTATCTAGCCAGGGCATATCTGTGAGCGATTGATTGTAGATTCGATACCTGTATCTAGCCAGGGCATATCTACATTAAAGAGATTTCAGAAATGGCTTAGAGATGCTCCGGACCCGGATGCTATTCTATCGCTTATTCAGAGTTTCCTTTCGGAGATAGCTTGGAAATGCTCCAGATTCGGATGTTATTCTATTGCTTATTCAGATTTCTTCTCAGAGATAACTTAGAGATGCTCCAGATATGGACGCTATTCTTTTGCTTATTCAGAGTTTCCTTTCGGAGATAGCTTGGAAATGCTCCAGATTCGGATGTTATTCTATTGCTTATTCAGATTTCTTCTCAGAGATAGCTTAGAGATGCTCCAGATATGGACGCTATTCTTTTGCTTATTCAGAGTTTCCTTTCGGAGATAGCTTAGAGATGCTCCAGACCCGGACGCTATTCTATTGCTTATTCAGATTCAAACTTCTAAAGACAACTTAGAGATGCTCCAGACCCGGATGCTATTATATTGTTTAGTCCGGATTCATTCAAAAGACATTCCAGATACGATCCAGATTCTGATGACATTCTATCCCTCACTCAGATACAGTATGGATATACCCCAGACGCGGCGGTCATTCTACTATTTATTCAGACGTCAGCAATTAGATATAGACTAGATATGCTCCAGACACGGAAGTCATTCTATTTCTTATTCAGATTCAACTATCCATTACATTTCCAAATGGCATTTATAAGCCCATTCCCGACAAGATCCTGTCACATCTCCAGATGGCATCTATAAGCCCATCCTCCTATCCATCATATCTCCAAATTGCATTTGTAAGCCCATTTCCGACATCACATTGCTGATACCACACTATGCGAGTGCAAATTTCTGGGCACTCTAATGTTCAATCATCTTCCACCTTCGGATCACGAAAGGCGCACAAGTCAATCTACATCCTCAGGTTTAAGAAGATTGAACAGGGGAAACTGTTGTACCCCAAAATTTTCCCTCCCATATTCTTCAAAGTTTGTCAAGAATCCTCCTCAAATGGTTCAAGACCACTCAAGAGATTGCACAGTCAAATACCTCATAAGCCAGTCAAAATTAGGGTTTTGGTTCTCTAAAGGAATTTGAGGTTTTCAATGGTCCAATCAAGTCTCATAGGCCTATATACATCCTCAAGCATCTACATGCCAAGTTTCAAGATTCACAATGCCAGTTCTACAGCCAAAAGCCCTATTTGATCCACAATCAACTGCAGGGGCAAAATGGTCATTTTACAGTCAAAAGTCATAATTTTTGGTCAACATCTTATTTTAAGCTCACAATCATCATTTGATCAAGTCTTGATCATGATTCCACAAGAATGGCTAAAAAATCCTCAAAGATGCAAAAGTTACTATTTTTGTACAGTTGAAAAGTCAACTGTAACTTGACCAGGGCATAACTTTTTCATGGTTCATCAGAAAAATCCCATCCAATGCTCATTTTGAAGGGGATGACATTTCCTACAACTCATCTTCACATTCCAAGTACAAGAAATTCTCTCACAAAAAGTTATCAATTTCTACATTATAGGTCAAATTCAAAAGTCAACAAAAATGCACTTTAAGTCAAAGACCATAACTTGAGATTGGTAAATCCAAATGACATGGGACCAAAGTAATTGGTTAGAGGACTTCAAGACCTTTCCAAAATGTCCAAGAACATGTTCATAGGATCAAAATTGAGAAAGATATGCATTGAAGAAGTTGGGAAATTTTTGTGAATTTGCAAAAGTCAACTTTGCTCAAAACACATCATTTTTGCTAATGGGCCTCAAATTCCTTCTTGAATCTTTGCCCAAGGCTTATGCACGACCCATTGAGCTTAAATTGAATTATTTTCTTATTTTTAATTAATTATTTGGATTTTTAATCAATATTAATTCATTTAATTCATTTAATTGTAGGAAAATATAAAGATATGTTTTTTTCAATCTTTTGTGAAGCAAATAAGCTGAAGACATGCTGGAGATTTCGTGTGCACATCAAGGGGACAAAGATCTCCAATTTTGGCAAGTTTTCCCAATCAAAAATATGCAAAAAGATTTGATTGGAAATCAAATATTGAAACATCAATGCAATGGATCTTTGGGCCAAGACTTAACCTAATTCTATTCCCATATATGCAAGCAAGCCAACCCTAATGATGTAGACGTGAAAAGCTGCTGCAAAAAGCCATTACCATATTGAAAAAATTCAAACAAACTCAAAACTGAATTCCATAATTTAACGTGATTCAAAGCTTGTTCTTGTTTCTAATATATTGCAGGAACTCCCAGGAACATATTGCAATCGAAATCAAGCCTTAAAGCTCAAGAAACGCGCAAGAACAGTCCCACGGTTTGTCAATATTTTTCAGAATTGAAACTCACATTTTATGCATCATTAACATGTTATAATCATTGCTTTGTATTGCTAAAACCTCTCTGAAGCTAATGGTATTGGTTAATTGCGTTATAGTGTACAGAATCAAGAATCACCATTGAAGAAATCTAGGGTTCCTAAGCTTGAAATTTGGGGATTTAGTAACTGTAGCGGTGAAAATCGGAGATCAAAGCTATTAATTAACTTGACTCACAAAAGCAAGAGTCGCCACCGCGCTTTATTATTTCCAAGGGAAAAGGGAAAAGAGCGAAATAAAACCCTAAAATATGCAATGTGAAATAATACTTAAAAGTAATAAAAATACAATGCGTTTTGAAAAGAGATCGAGAGTTCGGGGGTTGGTTATACAATGGGAAGGTATTAGCACCCAATGCATCTGCGGTACTCCGCAGGAACCTTTTGAAATATCTGTTTTTTTGGTTAAAAATTGTTTGTTTGATTAAAATGGTTCGTTTGGCTAAAAATCGGTATGGACGAGATTTTTGAAGATACGACGACCTAGTGTCGAAGTTTTGACTTAAAAAAAGTGTGAGTTTGAAAATGGAGTCTTTTGGGAAAATTATCTTAGGTTTAACAAAATAGTAAAACAAAGATGAAGGAGGGTATTCGCTTAATCGTATAACATGTGTTTGATGACATGAAGTCAACAAAGTTAGGACGTTTCCCTTGGAGTAAAACAAAGACTATAACATTCACCAACAAAGAAAATTATAAGGGAATAGGCGAACAAATTAAATGCACAATAAGGAGAATCAAATGTGAAGACAAAGAAGGCAAAAGTGTGAAATAGAGATATAATTAAAACAAAGAAATATCCAATCTAAATTAAAGTTCCAAAGTTATCAAAAGTAATTATAAACTAACTAAAATTCTAAAATTTCTAAACTAAATCTAAATCAAATAAAATTCTAAAACTACTAAACTAAATTTAAATCGAATAAAAACTCTAAAGTTATTAAACTAAATCTAAAATTATAAACTTATTAAACTAATTCTAAATTAAATAAAAATTATAAATTCACTGAACTAAAACTAAACAAATAAAATTCTAAAGTTATAAAATAAATCTAAATTAATTAAAGAATTCTAAATTAATATTAAACTAAATTAATTATAAGATTTACTAATATAATTTTTTCTTTTTTCTTTTTTAATCGGAAAAGATTATTTACAAACAATAATAGTTTTTTTCTTTTTTACATGCCAACCAATCTAATCGTGCCAAGTGGGAACTAAAGAAATAATAACAAGGGATGAAACAAATACTTACAGGCTAGGAAAGTATAGAAAATTTGGGAAAAGAACAAAAACGTAACAGCTATCTCAAACTTCCTTTTTCCCCATTCATGGAGAAGAAAAAAACCAAACAAACCCAATAAATTGAAACTTGCATCCAGTATAAACTCAAATTTGCATATGAAATAATCAATTCAAAGGAAAATAAATCAAGGATAAGTAAAACTGGGGGAACAAGTTACCGAAGCGGTGGATCGGAGTGAGAAGCGAAGAGTATTAACAACCTTGCTGTTAAGTGAAGTGCTAGCCGATTTGACAAGCGATTCATGATCGGAGAGTTCGACCGGGACAGCCATGGCGGTGAGGATGTCAACAGCTTTGACAGAGGCTTTATGGAGGGAATCGGTGAAGGCGGAGCTTGACTACGAGATTGTCGCGTTTGGTACGTTTTGTGCATCTCGGATCTGAGTTCTTGGCGTTTGAGTCGCAGTACCAGTGCAGTTGAGGCTGAAGGAAGTAAGGTCGCGTTGATGGCTGTGGAGTCCGTCTTCAACGACGAGGGGTTTGTGGTGTCGCTGGCCTAGTCTGTCGGCCGCGACGGTAGTGTGAACAGGTGTATGGTCAGACATCGATGGTGCCAGAAATGTGTGTTCGATCTGCTATGGGATTCGATCGGAGAAGCAGTTTTGTTGTGAATTGTTATTATTAGAATTGATGGTTAATAATGATAGCAGTAACTTCTGTACTGAAGAACATGGTGAATAGCCTGTTGAATTTACAGGTTCATTAAACAAAGTTTAGCAAAGTTGGTATTGGCTTGTTTTTGTGATGTTAAAGCTATGAATGGTGTTGAATATTATAGTATGAAAGTTTGGTGAATTATGTACAAGGCGGGATTTAGAAATTAGGTGTGAAAATTGGGAAAGAAATTGGTCTTGTGGGGTTGTTTTCTTCATGTGACTATGTTGGGTTTTGTTTGAGTTGTTTGGTGGCAATGTGTGTGAGGATTGAACAGAGGAAGTAGCGAAATTGGGATGAGAGGAAGGGTTACTGTAAGTGCTATTTTTTTGTTGTTTTGTCCCCCTTGTAAAGAAAAAAATGAAACCTTTAAATAGAAAAAGAATAGAAATATTATGATTTCAAAATAAATCCAAGCCGTTCAATATAAATCCAATCTCTATCAATCCGCAAACCATGCTTTCGACCAATGAGAATTCAATCTCTATCAATCCGCAAACTATGCTATCGACCAATGAGAATTAAGCGAAGCCTAATTAATAGTTTTTGTGACCAAAAAGTCCCTGAATGACAAAAATAAAATAAAACCTGAAATTATAAAAAATAACTCAATTTAAAATGATTTTTTTGAATATTTTATGAATAAAAAATAAAGACCCAAAATGACCGAAAACGATAAAAAAACGGACGAAAATTTATCCGATAAAATAAAATGAACACATTAAAATAAACTACATGTCACGAAGATTAAAGAAAAAATATTCAAGAAGTCAAAAAAATCAAAAATAAAATAATAATAAAAATATCAGACTAAAAAGACGTTTAAGGTTAAAAACGAGACTTCGAACTGTACCGAAAAAATAAAGCGAGCATACCGTCATGATCTACGCGAAACGCAGATTCATAAAATGATCGGTAAAAGGTGAAAACTTGAAATATTTTTCTCGCTAATTTTTCGCACATTGTTGAATCGCTTTTAACAGTTTGTCTATAAAACCAAAATATTTTTATTATCGACATATAAACAACTTGGAGCCATGCGAGAAACGAGTAAAGAGATAAAAATGCATGAAGCGAAATGTCAGGTATTTTTTACTAAAAGACGATGCAAACTTTGATTTAAACTGACTTTTCTGGTCAACTTAAATACGACTAATGATGCAAAATATGATGAATGAAGCTATTTACTAATGATTGTGACCAAATGACAAAATATGGTATGAATGTGCGACTGAAAAAATTAGGGGCGAAATTAAGGGCGCAACAGTGTGCCTTGATGAATCAGTCTTCGAGAATCCACAATCAACCGTACTTCTGGTTTGGGGGACTCAAAACCTTAATTGAGGCACGACACCTGATGCTCTTGATTCAGACCTATCTCTGCACATGAAACAAAAGGAAACATGAACATACACCTTTGTATGCAATTAGAAATTAGTGATACACAGGCTAAAAATGTTCAAAACACTTGACAATCTTCGCATAGTCAATGCTTGAAGGGGAGAGATTAAAACCGACTGTATTTCGTGACCTTGACTTATCTTTAAAATGCAAAAAAATAAAAATGGGATCTTAGGTCAAAAATTGGGGTACAATAGTAACCAGGAGAAATTAAGCTTCATGATGCACATGATTGAATTCGTGAGAATCATACGAATCTAACAGGACCATCGCGCCCTATTTATATAGCTTCTACGCCTAATCGCTATTTTTGGTCATGCTATTTTGTGGGGGTTAAAAACCCCCTCTATCTGTTTGTTGTTTTTACAGGTGAATGAAGAAGATGATTGCGTGTTGATACATGGTTGGCTGGTTTGAAATATGGCACGCGTTTTGTTGTTTCCAGCATATGCGATGTTTTTCATATATTATTTTCATTGCTTGTTATAATTACAAATACAGGCGCATGGCTCAGTGGAAGATGATGTGTTTGGCAACCATTGGGACCTGGGTTCGATTCCCAGGTCCCCCAAATATTATTTCTATTTTTTCTTAACATGGTTATGTGCAGGTTATCCCAAGCGTCCCACCATACGCCTCATCCTGATGCACGCCATGTATCCACAATCACAGATCCAGTGGTCATGAGATGATCCTCACCATGCACTCAGTCAACCAACCGGCACTTGATCCAGAAAGTCAACGAAGGCTTGATGTTAATGGGCCTGAAATTTCCAGCATAAACCTCCATATTTGGGCCAACACCCCCCCTGGTTAAATATTTTCTCTTTTATTTTTCTCTTACTAATTTCTAACTATTATTATTATTATTTATTTAACTAACATAATTAATATTATTTTCATAATAAATCCAGTAAATATTTATATTATTATTATTATTATTATTAAATTTCACCTTAATTATTATTTTTGTAAATAAATGTAAATTAATTAATTTAGTCTTTTTATTAGGTTTAATTTTAATATTTTTTTCATAATAAATAAAATAAACTTAGAATTAGGGTTTTTCTTTTGACAATTTTAATTCCTTTTCTTTTTATTTTTAAGACATTAAAAAACACATAAAAAATACTTTTTCTTTTAACTAAATAATTAATTAGTAAATTAGGTTTAATATTTAATTTAATTGCAAAAAAGGACAAACTTCTTTCTTTTCTCAAAAAGGGTCAAAACCCTAGGACGTCCTGATTCAAATTCTTTCGCGCGCATATTTATTTTTAATTATTTTGATTATATTTATGTAACTGTTTCCGAGAATGTAATAGATAATTAGGGTTTTATCGCTTTCTTTACTTTCTCGCAATTTATTTTCAAGGGTTATGTTTTTGGCGATGTAAATACCCGACGCCTTGTAATAGCATAGATTCAATTTTCCGCAATTTACTTTCCGCATAATTTTTAAACTGTTAATATGCATGCAAGACTTGTATGACAAATAAAATCAACCCGTAGCTCACAAATGCATGTTCAAAGATAAATATAAACTGAACCTGACACACATGCACATACCACTCCTAGGGTACGCCTCACTTGGTTGCCTCGAGGTGGTCGTCAAGTATAGGGTGTTTTAGAGGTCGCCCTCCTGTCTAAAGATCCAGTTGCCTCGAAACGGTTGCCTCGGATAAAAAGGATCTAGGACATTAGGGTTACCGCTAAGGTATCCTACTATTGCTTTGGTGACCACACATGTCCCGATAATCGAATTGACCCGAACACCTCCAACGACGGTGCTACCTACTTCTCAATAGTGGGATAGTACTGTCTAAAGGACTCTTACACAACTTAATTCCTTAGAGTAGGTAGATTTCTCCTGGGTACTTGCTCTTTCAAAAAAACAAAAAAAACAACTTTTCGCACCTACACTTTCAAAAAGTTTTCAAACAAACACTTCATACACTCTTGAGGATTGATACAAGAGTTACCTAGAAGTTTTTCAAACTAAACTTTTTCAAAACCCACAAACACTTGAAAAGCAAACAATTTTTGAAAACATAGTGAGCAAGTACCTAAGAGCCCGTGGATAACCACGGATAGAAAGGGTGCTAACACCTTCCCTTTCTATAATCTACCTCCCGAACCGAGAAACATCTCGAAAAGGAATTTTGCTGTGCTTTTGTCCTTTCCTTGTTGGAGAAAATAAAAGACGGTGGCGACTCTTGCTTACCGCGACACTTTGTGAACCAGCATTTCAAAATAGTCAGTTCTATTTCCACCGATCACAACCTCCGCTACGAAAGATATCTGGGTATTTGCCCAAAGCAGACTTCAGCTTCATGTTCTTACCTTTGTCATTCTTCACAGAGAATCCCAAACCAGCTCTATTCTTGTTTACAGGTGGATCAACAATCTTCCCTCATACTTTACTAGGGTCATTACGTACTACCTGTTGAGCATATTTAAACAAAGCTATAGAATTCTCATTTCCTCTTATATTATCAACGGATAAAGCTTGGAACTGGGTTCCAATAGCAGCTTCATCCGCTTCCACAACATTGAAAGAGGATAAGTGAGATATTAATAATGCTTGCTCTTCGTTTATGATGACCACCTTTCCTTCACGCACAAAATTCAGCTTTTGGTGTAAAGTCGAAGTGACAACCCCTACCTCGTGTATCTACCGTCATCCCAGTAAACATCTGTAAGCGGGAACTATATCCATAACCTGGAAAGTAATCTGAAACAAATATGGGCCTATATGAATAGGAAAATCTACTTCCCCGATGACTGATTTCCTCGATCCATCGAAAGCTTTTACAATTATGCCACTTGAGTGGATGGCAGTTCCTTGATACTTTAGCTTCATAAGCGCGCTCCTCGATATGACATTTAAAGCGGATCCATTGTCAATTAGCACATTAGACAATGAATTGTTCTTATAGTTCATGGAGATATGGAGAGCCAAATTATGATTCCTTCCTTCATCAGGCAACTCGTCATCACAGAAACTCAAATTATTACAGGATGTAATATTCCATACCACACTGCTAAATTGGTTCAAAGGCATATTACTTTCCATGAAATCTTGACCCAATACTCTCATCAAAGATTCCTTGTGGGAAGAAGAGTTCATTAGCAAGGCTAGCATAAATATCTTTGACAGAGTCTACAACAATTGATCTACGATCCTGTAGTCGCTCATCTTAATAATCTTCAATATATCATCCACATCTTTCTCCAGAGTAGTACCACTAGATTCCCCCACTATTTTCTTGGGTTCAACATTTTCAATAATCTTTTTATCAGCATTAACACTCCCTCAAATGATAGGTGCGAAAACATGGCCACTGCGGGTCACTCGGATGGCTTCCACAATATTCTTGACATCAGACAAAGGTTGGATGGGAATTTACACACCATCCTCTAAAATTGTAGCATTGTATTTGTATGGCACAACCTTATCTGATTCGTAAGGAACAAGACCAATAGCTGG